TGCCGGGTGGGGATGCTGGCACGCCGCCTGACGCCGTGCCCAGTCTCTCCCCAAGCATTTCTACCAGAACAGGGCGCAGCCTCCCGCCAGCGCGTCCCGCGTGCAGAGTAACACAACGGCCCGGCCCGGCCCCCCTGCCCATGTGTATCCGGCTGCTTCCCAGGTGATGATGATACCCTCCCAGATATCCTACACACCTTCCCAAGGAGCCTATTACATTCCCGGACAGGTGAGGGACGTGCCCCGGGCTCTGCGGGAGGGGGCTGGGGTGGGCACCAGTGGGGGGTGTTGCCCGGGGTTGGAGCCCAGGTCTGCTTTGGGAGGGTGGAAGGGGTCCCCCAGGCTCTGAGCACCCACTGATTTGAGCAGGGTGTTGCCTGGCTCTGTAGAGAGGCAGCAGTCAGCGCTGGTCCCCCTCCCTGGCAGCCCCCCGAGGCGCCTGGTGCCCACTTTGCCTGCATCCTGCTCCCTGCCCTGGCGCCCAGCTGGTTCACAGGCAGGTTTGGGGGTACGTCAGTGGTTTGGGGGTACGTCTGCGCCCTGCAGGGGAGGTAACTGACCTTTCTTCTTCTCCCCCATTGCAGGGTCGCTCCACGTATGTCGTCCCAACCCAACAGTATCCGGTCCAGCCCGGTGCCCCTAGTTTTTACCCTGGAGCCAGCCCCACAGAGTTTGGGACTTACGGTACAGACGGCGGGGAGGGGGTTGCTCTGCTCCCTGGTGCTCTTCCAGACCCAGCACCCCCACCTTTTTTTGCTCCCCTGCCTCTGGCCTCCCTGCAGCCTCCTGCGCTCAGGAGCTGAGCACAGACCCCTCTGCCTTTGCCAGCTCACTGGGGCCGTCTCTATGACTCCATTACAGGCTGTTTTGGGGGGCAGGGGGTGTTGCTCATCTCCCAGCAACACTGAGGGCTGTGCATCGTGTCCCATCGGTCCATCCACCCCCGCCCTTTTCCAAATCGGGGCCGTTTAATGTTTAACTCTCCTGGCGGAAGGCCGGGACAGACTTTATCCCCTGCTCCCCCTCGCTCACCATCAAGGTGGTGAGCAGTTTTGTGCTTGCTGACCCTGCCTCAGCTCCCTGCTCCCCAGGGAGCTGAGCCTGGGGTGCTGGGGTCGCTCCGTGCATGCCCTCTCCCGGCGCTGGGGAGCGGTGGTGTGAGCAGCCCCCCCTTCTTCCCCCCGCTCGCATGTGGCCACCCGGGCTGTGACTATATTTAGGCTTGGTCGGTCCCGGGAGGCCCGGCAGACACAGAAATGTGAGCCAAGGCCTCCGGCCCGGCCCCGGCACGGCAGCAAAGCATAACCGGGGCAGAGATGGGTTTCTCCTGAGCCAGGTACGTCCCCGTCCTCCCTCCCTCTTGTCCCGGGGCCCAGCCGGCCCCTCGGAGGAGGGAGGTGGCCCCCAGCAGTGGCCGGCTCCCGTGCTCTGGCCAAGGCACAGCCACTTTGTCCCTGGCGCAGGGACATCCCCTGGGTGTCTCTGTGGGGTCCCAGGATGGGTTTGCCCCCCGCCTTCGCTTTGGGGCTGCAGCTGTTCCCGGGGGAGCTGGCAGCAGTATGCCTCTTGCCCGCAAGACCGAGTGGGTGGCCTGGCACTGCATGCCCCTCGATGGGCCAGCCCTCCTGGTCCCCAGGGCTGGGCAGCTCGGGGTCTCCCTCCCTCCTGCCGCGCCTGGCCCATCCCTGGCTGTGCCTGTCCCCCCTCACGCCCACATCCCCGTGGCACTGCTCTGGGGGTGATGCTTGCTCTGGGGGTGATGCTTGCGGATGCCCTGGGAGGAGCAGAGTGCCTCTCGGGGGCTGTGCCAGCCCTGGATGGGGTCCAGCTCTGCCTCCGGCCCCCGCCACAGCTCCCTCCTCTGGGCTGGGCTCACCGGGGGTTCAGGCTGCGCGGGGAGCCCGAGCCCCTCGGCCTGGGTGTGAATGGAGGGTGCGGACGGGGCTGCCTGGTGCCGCCCTTGGGCTGGTGCTGGCCCCGGCGAGATAAGGGTGCCGGCAGGAAGGTGGCCGCCCGCGGAGCCGGGACACCCGTACCCGGCATGGCCGAGCGTCCCGGCGGTGGCGTGGAGCCGGTGGGCACGGCGGACGCCCGCGGGGCCTGGCTGGGCGTGGGGGTGGCGCGGGGACGCTCTGCTTCACAGGGAAGGAATTCGGTCAGGCCTGTCAGGCGGGTTGGGACAATCCGGGCCGGATGCGATGGGGGTTCGCTGCAGAGCAGCACGGGCTCCCCAGGCTCCTGACAGACCCTTGTGCGTGGGGGATCAGGGAGTCCCCAGGACGGGCTTGGAGGATCTGGGTTGGCTGGTCTGACGCTCTCTCCTCTCCTCCAGCGGGTGCTTATTACCCAGCGCAGGGGGTGCAGCAGTTCCCGGCGGGGGTCCCCACTGCCCAGGTCATTGTGAGCCAGCAGCCGCCGATCCCCCCAAAACGAGAGCGCAAGACGGTAAGGAGCCATCCGCCTTCAGGCAGGGGGGAGCTCGCACGCAGGAGGGGACGGTGCCAGCCCCGGCTGCCGGCGGTGTGCGGGATGGGATGTGGTGCGGGACGCCGGGGAAGGCGAGTGGAGTGGGGCTGTGTCTCCCCCCAGGCTGGGGGGCTCGGCTGAGGGGCTCGGGGTGCGCAGCGGGTGCCATCGACCTTGGCCGTCCCGGCGGGCAGCGTTGTGCTGAGTCACGGCTCCCCGGGGGGGCGGGGGTGCCGCGGCTGCCAACTGCTGTCTGCTCCCGGAGATGCCGGCGCTCAGAGGCCTCGCGCGGGGCCTATTTATAGCGGGGAGCCGGGCGGCTGCTGGCATGGCCCTGCGCTAGGGGGCTGGGGGTGCCGCCGGGCTGGGGAGGGGGGATGCTGGCGCGTTCCTCGGCAGAGGGGCCTCGGTGCTCCTCACGCTCTGCTCTTGCTGCCCTGGAGCAGGTCATGTTTGCGGGTGGGGAGAACAAGACCCCTGGCTGCACTGTGCCCCCCACCAGAGTCCTGGACCTGTGTCTCCCCACTCACCCCCCCAGCAGGGTGCCCTGTGGCTCCTGCTGCACCCACGGCAGGTGTGGGGCCAGCGAGGCTGAGGGCGTATGGGCTGTGCCTGGAATGGCACGGAGCTCGCTGTGACTTCTGCGTGCTGAGGCCGGTCCCCTGTGCTGTCCCCGAGGCGGGGGGGGTCCCCACAGCCCCTGTGCCAGCGTGGTGATGCCTTGGGATCCCCCCACCCCTGGAGATGGCACTGGCCTGGGGACACAGCGCTGGCTCCGGCTGCCTGGCATGATGGCTTGCAAGGCTTGCCCTGCCCCACGCCGTCCCTACCCGCTGGGCATCGGGACAGGCTGGTGTCTGTGGGGCGCTGTGCCCCGTGGGGAGGGGAGGTGGCATCCGCCGGTCCCCAAACTGTGCGTGGCCAGGGCAGTCAGCACTGAACGAGCCTCTCCCCTTGGAGAAGGGGGTGTGCTGGGGGTGTCAGGCCCAGGGAAAGGGGGTGGCTTGTGTGCTGTGTCCCCCACCCCACTGACAGCTTCCACCTCTCTGCCCTGACCCGTGGACAGATCCGGATACGAGACCCCAACCAAGGTGGCAAAGACATCACTGAAGAAATCATGTCCGGAGCAAGGACCTCATCCACTCCCACCCCTCCGCAGGTAAGGGGACTCCCCAACAGGGGCAGTGGGATGTGCACAGGGCCCAGCTGAACTCCCTCTTTGCCCCCTAGGCTGGAAGCGGTTTGGAGCCCCAGGCCAACGGAGAGACCCCCCATGTAGCAGTTATTGTCCGGCCAGGTAAGTGCCTGTGCTGGGGGTGGGTGTGCCAGCTGGCACAGCTGCTGCCAGGCTCCCTGTTGTTGGCACTGTGGAGTGCGAGATGCAAGCCCTGCTGTTCCTTGGTTCACTTGGGGCTTGTGGGGTCAAACGTGTTGCCGACATACCGGGGGACTGGTGTCCCTGTGTTGGGTCCAGGAGAGTTTATGGGGGCTGTCTGCTCACCCCAGCTGTCCCCTGGGCACTGGAGGACCCCTCATGTCCCTGTTGCCTGCTTGTGATGTGGGTTGTCACATCTGTCCCTACTGCTCTTGCAGATGGAGGGATTTAGGGAGGGATGTGGGGTTAGCCGGGGATTGGAGAGCCCCCCGTTAACGCTACCCATCTTGCAGATGACCGCCCGAAGCCAGCACTGGTGGTGAGCAAGCCCGTCTCCCTGGAGCCTAACAAGTCGGCATCTCCGTCGCCTCCCCCTCCCCTCATCCCCGAGGTGGAGCCCGTGGTGCTCTCGGCCGTGGCACTGGTGCCAATGGAGCCCCCTGTGGACGTAGACACTAAACCGGAGCTGGGCGAGGCGCCGCCCGACCCGCACAAGACGTTTAGCGCCATCACTACAGTGCCAGGGGCTGTGGAGCCGCCCCTCGTGCCCACGCCCGACATGGACACGGTGGTCGCGGAGGAGGAGGAGGAGGTGGTCGCCATTCCCCTCCCGGAGCCTGCCCCGCAGGCGCCTGCACCCCCCGAGGTGCCGCCG